CACGTACATCACTTGACGTTATAAAGGAATATTAACTCAGGTTCACGTACATCACTCGACGTTATAAAGGAATGTTAACTCAGGTTCATGTACATCACTCGACGTATTATAAAGGTAATGATTTCTAAATTTCCTTTACAAATATGTAATTGATATTTCAACGACATTTTGACTCTCTCCTGTTTGTTTCACAAGATATGTGGCGACATGAAACTGTAATATCACATCTGAGGCAATAAAAACAGTTACTCACAATACTTATAATAACGTGAGGACGAAATCGGACACCGGGTATTGTAAAATATATGTAATAACATTCTGTTATCCTATTACTGCAGTTTGATTTAAAAAAAAAACTACTGGTGTCAACACTATCACCTACTGAAGTAGTTTTTAGACTTGCACAAGTCATCAAGTTATGTAATTGAGCCGAATATCTCATCAGCAGAACTAGGATTTGGGTTAGGAGCGTTGGTAATTGTTCGGTGACAGCGAGGCAAAGAGCAGTGAGCCAAATTAAAGTTCGAGACAAGACTAGTTCTAGGAGCTTTTATAATCAAAATCATCCCTCGGAGTTCTTCTGATTTAACATACCACTATAACAAGTACATTATGAAAAATATCAATTTTATGTTACTCATATGTCAATTTTCCCATTGGTTTGAATCATTATTAGGCAGTTCTTCAAAAATTCCACAATTATAGTCTTGACCAGACTGGACAGAACCTGAATGTTATTCTCTGTCTCCTTCGCTTCTCACAATGAAAAAGTTGGTTTATCGATTTAAGACCAGGAAATCGCAGGATTCAATAGAAGGTAGAGGGTATCTGGAGGATAGGGACGGGGTTTACACACGGGAAGAAACATCTGAGGTTTAGGTTTAATCAGTTGTATATTCAATCATTGTAAATATAACATTGCCGATTCAACTTCGGTATCTGAGGGATTTCGGTCTTATTCCCTTCGTAAATTGCACATCATATATAGAAATACAAATTTCAATTGACAGCTATTGAGAAACAAGTTCCATAGCTATGCACTGTATGCTTCTGTCAATCACTCTAGGTCCGAATTAAAAAGGAAGGGTTTTACAATGGAAGGAAACCGGAGTACACGAATCGTGTTAGCAATAGACCACCCGACCACTCAATGAAATATTTTCATAAGAATGCATACACTTTATAAACCACAACAAGTCTTCATTAACCAATGGCGCAAATTATTGATTGTTTTGGACTGTTTGTGCCGAAACCTTGCTAAGCGACATAGTAAAACTTATCTAAAGAAATAGATATGTTGTTTGGCCCCTGCGCATGAATTTAATGTCATAAAGTTTAGAAAGATTACAGCGATGAAATTGAAATAATTTACCTGCCAGCTAAACTGATGGCTTACCCAGTTGAACTTGACATTAGCTAGTACACTAAAACAAATGACGGTGTACCGTCCGAACTTTCACGGTATCCACGGTGTTACAATTGTCAGAATATCCTGCAGTGTTATAAAGTATATCTGAAAATAGATTTCTGTAAAAATAAAAAAAAATAATAAAAATTAAAAAAAGACAACGGAAATCAATTATCTGGGGGTATATATAATTAGAATGATTAAGACTGAAAGGAAGGACAGCTGGGAGAGAATTTGCAATTATGATAAACATCCAGTTTATCACAAAGTCTGTTAACCTGTTATGACCAGTAAATAAATATAAATAGGTTTTAAATAACAAAGCATTTCAGTTCCCATTCAGCGAACTCCAGTTCCCACGAAGAACAGCACTGAATGTAATTCTACAAGAAAATTTAATAAGAACAGGTGGTATGGATATGAACTTTAAAAAAAAAAAGCAGTGACACATTTCCTTTGGGTTAGGAATATACTGGTTACCTTTTGAAAACATAAAATGCTTCCATTATCGGCGAATGGCGTGATGTTAAAGACGCTGGGTTTCGTCATCGCATAATCAACAAGTAGAGTAGAACAAATGGCCAATTTTGTATGCGTTGTAATGTCGTTTTTGTATTCATTATATTGGTCTTCATATCTGTTTGCTAGAAATGATATGTTTTGATTCCCAGTTTAGAAATGATTTCTTTATGCCTTTACTTCTAAATATAGTCATTTTCATCTTATCTTATTATCAAACGGGGCGCTTGGTTCAAATTGGAAACGTAAATCATAATGGCAATTTAAATGGAAACCTATTTCCCGGACAAAAGTCGATTGATTCAAACTGTGATGCTATTGAGTATCTGGTCATTGAACGATACTGACCTCCATACACAAAATGTGTTAAACATACATCATAAAAATACAAGCCTTTTTCCTTCTATCATTACATGTGTTTCATAATAGCTGGAAACTCCCATGGTTGGTTAGTATTTCAACAGCAGAACATACCACAGGTTGTTTTCTAACTTACACAAATAGAGACACCACTACACATTTTCTCCATGATATGCGACACACACGATCTATCCATGTAAACAATATGGGCGTAACAGCCAACCGCGTGTGTTTGGTATTTATACAAGAAATGCTGGATTTAGGGACTATAAACAATTTGGCGAAACAAACCTTTGCACTTCAAAATGTAGAAACGTTGTTCAAATATTATTTACAATTGCTGTGTCAGTAATTAAAACAGAGACTTGAGACTCAGATTTTGTTTGGGAGATCTAGTTTTTGTTGTGTTCGTTAAAGGGGATCACCATTTAATTTAAATGTTTTTCTCACGTGGAAATCATAAATCAACGGTCATAGATTGATGATATCTATATATAGCTCTAAGATATTAATAGACAGATATAAATAAACATTTAGTGTTGTACAAATTGTATTATAAGATTACATTTACAGACAATTTTAATTGACAGTCTAGGCACCAGTCATTGTAAACAGCCTTCGTCCTTCATTCAAACCATGGTGTTATCTTATCAAAATGTATCGTGAGCTTTCACGACCGAGTCGATTCGCGTGGGATGGTTTACGTCATGATCACAGGGTGTGGAATATGAAATAACAATATCCTAATTGAGTAATGAAGCCTAATTAGTAGGTCTGTTTTGTTACATTGGTGTCATGTTGATACATGTGGTGTCATTGTAACCAACAATTCACTAAATGGACAATTTATACCTACACGTGATTAACAAAAAATGATTTTTTTATATATTCGATCGTCTCCCTTTCCTGTCCAACAGATGTTGACCACATGTTTATAAAACACAAAAGTGCAAGTTGTTCATTTTTATAATCATCCCGGAATATGGTCGGGTCAGACAAAATGACATGGCAGCTGTTTACAATCATGTTTATATGCCAGCAAATTGAGTGCATCGAAGGCTGTATGACAACTACAAAGAAACACTCCACAATTTCATACTTTACGGACAACAACCGAATCGGGTTACTGAGAAATTACAGAAAGCTCTAAACACCCAAGAAAATTAAAGAAAATTTCTAGTTTAGATATTGGCCGATAGCCAATTAAATCCGTCCTAGATATCAGAAGTGTAAATACATTAATGTGGCGTAATGCTTATAACCATGGAAACATATAAAACATAGTTTATACCTATCAGAAGATGGAGGGTAAAAACGAGATCAAGTACAGCAGAAAACCCCACTGTTAATCGTAAAACCAGCAGGATTTGGAAACATTTAAACGTGAAGAATTTAGAGTTTAGAGCTGCATGTTGTAATAATCTGATTTCAACGAAGAATTTAGTTGGAAATCAACCTTTAAGTGAACATGTCTTTATATTAAAGTTTATCAAGGAAGGAGACAGCCAATATATTATTTTGTTTGTTTGTTTTTCTGCTAGTTATCACCTTATCTCACAACTTAGAACAAACAATGCACTGATTTTAAATTAGTGACTTTATAGGCCAGTATTTATAGAGTAAATATTTAGTGTTGTAATGCATCATTGAAAAATAAGAAGGCGTACTAATGAAAAACGTATCGCTTCTTCCTAAAGTTGTAACATTTTCTAACGAAAATAATACCGAAAGTACGTTTTCTTCAAATCACTCACATTTATCAATAATATCCGATATCTACACGTCACCAACATATCTGATGTATAAAATACATCGCACACTATTCACCTGTCACTTACCTAAATATCTCATACGTAAAACATAAAGCACACCATTCTCCTCTGTCACTTACCTAAATATCTTATACATATAACATAAAGCGCACCATTCTCCTCTGTCACTTACCTAAATATCTCATACATACAACATAAAGCACACCATTCTCCTCTGTCACTTACCTAAATATCTTATACAGTACGTTTAACATGAAGTATACTATCTTGTACAACATAAAGCACACCATTCTCCTCTGTCACTTACCTAAATATCTTATACAGTACGTTTAACATGAAGTATACTATCTTGTACAACATAAAGCACACCATTCTCCTCTGTCACTTACCTAAATATCTTATACAGTACGTTTAACATGAAGTATACTATCTTGTACAACATAAAGCACACCATTCTCCTCTGTCACTTACCTAGATATCTTATACAGTACGTTTAACATGAAGTATACTATCTTGTACACCATAAAGCACACCATTCTCCTCTGTCACTTACCTAAATATCTTATACAGTACGTTTAACATGAAGTATACTATCTTGTACAACATAAAGCACACCATTCTCCTCTGTCACTTACCTAAATATCTTATACAGTACGTTTAACATGAAGTATACTATCTTGTACAACATAAAGCACACCATTCTCCTCTGTCACGTACCTAAATATCTTATACATATAACATAAAGCACACCATTCTCCTGTCACTTACCTAAATATCTTACACGTTTAACATAATGTACACTATCTTCCTCTGTCACTAACCTAAATTTCTGATATACATATATATGATATAAAGAACATTATTCTCCTCTCTCACATATAGTACAATGTTAAACTCAACGAATTAAAGGATAATAATATTAAGAACTTATTGTAACTTACCTGAGAGTTAAAACTGTTTACTTTCCACTTCTGCAGATTCTTAATTTCTAACTTGTAACAACACCCGTTCTCTGTTCTATGTTTGGTATTCCCACACTGCTGTCTCTAGCCACGTCTACTACCATTGGAGTTCTGTCGCGTTTCTGTGTCGCTCCTTTAAATTCCCTGCTGGGTGATCATGAGAAACACGTGTTTTAAAATCAGATATGTTTTCTTCGTGTCAGGTTTTGTTTCTCTTTACTACGAAATTAACTTAAACGTAACTAGACTTGTCATATTCGTGTATTTGTTGACACGTGGTGTTTACATTCTGTCTGCAACTTAAGAAAGTGATCTCGCTGCTAACGTCCTTTTTTATATGTCAAAAGAATTAAAACGTTGATGGAATCTACGAAAACAAGTAGGCTGAATAATAAAATCGATATGTAATATGGGTACAAGGATATGACGTACAGTCCTCTACACGTGCAGGTAGATCCGCTCTGAGCGAAGTCGTGCGAATATCTATCACCACGCTGGAAGGAGCCATAATATAAACACAGAAAGGTCGACTGGTAATCAATAAAAGGTTAAAGCTCGTGCATAGCCACGACCAGATATTTTATGCTGACCAGAAAGTATGGCCTGGGTACGTGCCAAGAGGTACTATGTTATGTTTAATCCTTACTCAATTTTTCAACATCTGATATGTTGTTTTTAAAAATTAATAATTCTAAATATATACACCTACACGTTAATGCACCATATGCCTGTTCAGCATTGCAATAAAATCAATCATCTTTAACGGTAAATGAAAAATGAAATATATGCGTCCTTTACTGTTAATGGAGGTGATTGAATCGTTCTCCATTCATTTACTATAGGTTAGAAAGTCACACGTTGTGTTTAGGAAATACACTGAAGCTATGCGTTGTTTCAAAGTGCAGAATACACACAACGCTATACTTAAGTATTATCTCAATGTACACAATTAACCGAAGTCATGTTTTTATGAATATGCAAAGTATGTTGAAATCATGACTTATTCTGACGTCATGAGTTGTTTCCATGTACCCAATATACTGAACTTATACGTTGCTTCAATATAACCAATAATCATAAAATATGTGTTAAATTACTGTAATATATTGAAGTCATGCGCTGACAAGTCATGCGTTGTTTCAATGTACTCTGTACACTGATGTCAAGTCATGCGTTGTTTCAATATTCTGATGTGAAATAACGCTGTTTCAATGTACTCCGTATACGTCGTGCATTGAAACAACGCATAACTTGACATCATTTACAAAACACATTGAAAGAGAGCGTGGTTTCACATCAGTATGTGGAGTACATTTTAGTCGTTTAAATATCCAAAGTCTGGGAAGGAATGTTCGTTCATGTAACTGTTCCTTAGACACGGCTCTAGTAACTTTAGCTGGTAGCTTCTCGACTAAACACACAAATATACAAAATAACATAAATGAACACCTTTCATAATTTTTCTATCAACCGGTAGATAAGGAAGATAAGTGTTGTTTGTAATGAACACTTCATTCATGAATGTCCTATAACTTCAAAGGATACAGACACAAATTAACCAGTGTAGAGGACCCTAACAGACAAGTATATCATGTTAAATAACAATTCTACATTGCTCTCTATCAAACAGTGAATAAATGATACCGTGTACATTTGAATGTATATGTACATTAACAAGTAAAAGAGAAACATCAAAGTATTAAATTATGTAGCGTCAAATGACACTTAGTGATATATGGATATTATTGGAATTTAGACATTCAGGAAGCCAACGCAAGTAATCCACCAATGGCGTCCTTATTCTGATGATAGGGGCATGACTTATGGAGCAACATGTCATGGTAATGAGGGTATCACAAAACGAATGTCCTTTAGTTACAACCGTCCACGACATCTTGTCGGACGCAGACAAATTATTACATCGTTTAACATAAAACGGAAATCACCAGTAAATTGGAGTTGTAATTTTAGTGTGAATTATCGGGGAGGCTTTTTATGAAAAAAGATATCCAAATTATCGAAGTAATAGTATCGATCTAGTTACGGAGACAGTGACCAGCTAGACACGGGGAGTTTGACGTTAAATCACATGCCTATCGTATAAGCGGTTAACATCACGAGACTTGATATTTCAGTATTAGATTTACGTAAACATTATCGAAGCTGTCAGATCCGCATCCGGGAGAATTTCCATTCCGAAGACATCAGGAAATTCTCTACAGCACAGTCTTTATGTATTAGGAACTTCATTTATTTTACAAAATCCGTGAACAATCTATCGATCATATTAATAGCTTTTGCTGGCTCGAATTAAAGCAAGCTAGAAGTCTTACTGCAGGAGGATATCGGAATACCCGCTGAAAACCCACGTGATCTTGCAGGTGTCAATATACATTTTCACGTACTATCATGACAGAACTTTTTGTCACACTCGTGAAATGTATTTGTTTGGATTGTTAATATTTTGGAATCTTTTCGTAAGATACGTGTGTTATAGATACTTGTTTCTTTAATGTTTCCGTCTACTTCAATAAATTAAGACAACCCTGTCTCCATATTTTCTTCTCTTTAGTTTTTGTTCTAGTTTTACGTTGTTTTTATTAACAGATAATTCAATAAAGATTAGGATATATCGGTTATCGGTTCATGATAGTTTATATTTTACGATATCCTTGAATAGCGGGAACGCCAAAATATTATCCCTGTTTACATGTTAAGTGTATCAGAATGAATGGACTGTGGGCGTCGTCACAACCGTCAAGGAGTCTCCAGCAGAGACTTAGACACAGATGTCCGTAAAATTGATACTCCATATCTGTTGTGGAAGAACGCCGACGTCACCAATACCTAAGGCAAGATTCACTAGAGAAGGACTTGTAGCATGAAAACATGCCGTCGATTTTGAATAAACCGCAAGAAACGCTCTCGAACAAACCCACATAAACGAGTCATTTAGATGACCAGGCGGGCCCACTATTGCCGAGAGTTGAGGGAAAATGCCGCAGACTGGTTTCCTTCGTTCCTGCCTCTGTAATATCAGTCACTAATAATGAACATGTCACATTTTCAGACGTTCAGATGACACATTCCTATTTAGGGCTTATTATGTATTATATTACAGTGTAAAAAAAGTGACATGTTCAAACAATCGCGTTACTATCGATCCCTACAGGAAACAAAGTATCCTGTATCACTACCGGTAATTCCAACTGACAGGGATTACTTAGTGGACCATTTGCATGAAAGAGGAAATCGGAGGTGGAGAGCGAAGGCAAGGAAGAGAGAATAAAAGATGTGACATTTAGTCCCGGATATAATGCACAAATTCCAGCACAGATGTATATAAAATGAGATGTACGACGAAAATCACAGTGATCTGGCCGAAGTCGACAGAATCGAATCTTTATTGACATTGATATGTATTTTGCATAATAAAAGACCCGATGGAAAGGCTGAGGTCTGGTTGACTTTATTGATGCTGAAGTGACAATGATCGAGACATGACTACGTATATGAGATCTCAAATCAATAATTGAAACCGATATTAATTACGTTCTGACAGAAATGACTGGGAATATATTAATTACACTGACGTCGAACCAATGTCATATAACTTACATTGACATATACGACGTCGAAATTACTTCTCATCAATATGATGTGTTTATATCACCATCGTAAAAGACAGGTGTATGTCATTTCAAAATTACAAACAAGCACAATAGTATTTGATAGAATCAATATAAAACATGTTTCATCTTCTAACAGTTTTTGCAATTATGTTTGAGTTGATTAATTTTGCATAAATATGGTTAAAGTATTTTGAAAATGGTTGTGAAACAACAGTTATGTATATATTCGCTATGTTATTTCTATGTAGCCTTCCATATCTCATGGTTGTTACCATGATGTCTCACGTGGAGTGATGTTTGCTATATTTCTTATCAAGATTGTACAAAAGCACATATTCACGAGAATAACATCTTTCAATACATTAAGAGTTTGATTCCGTATAGAAAAATATAAAATATTGAATCATGTATCTGTTACAACGACCTGAAATGTTGAAACCGAGTAGGCTTCTGTAGATGGTGGTCTACAGTGTTACTAGGATAATGACAATAAATCCCCGTGAAATTAAGATTAAATTTCGAGTTCAATATTATAATTTGGATGAGAAAGGCAAATTATTTGTGGTTTTATCATCTTCATATTTTGCGGTAGTGTCAGACATGATGTATAGGTTATGTTGTAGCGACATAACGAGTTAGGCACAAGGAGACTCGCCTTCAAGTTAGGCACAAGGAGACACGCCTTCAAGTTAGGCACAAGGAGACACGCCTTCAAGTTAGGCACAAGGAGACACGCCTTTGACTGCTCCTTAACAGAAGAGGTGTTTGTCCTGAACGTGTAAGACGATAATCGCCTACACAAAACACACCCAGCTGTATACATTAATTGAATAAAAGTAGTATGTGGTAAAGCTTCAAAAGTTTGCGATTTCTGAAATATACTTAGCTTTCTAAGAGTCGTATTATATGCTTACTGCCATACGATGAATACGTTTGATTCTAGTAAAGGAATTTCAAGTATGTATATATATCGAAACTCTTTTTTCCCCGAACATTTTACACTTGGATTCCGTTGACAGCCATTTGATATTTATACTGTGTTAATGAAATGTTAATGAGCACAGATTGTTATCACAGGACATTCCCGGCAAATATTAAATGATCAGTTTCCGTTTCGCTCCTAACACACCAGCGGGGTACCGGAGAGAAATAAACAGCAAAAAGTGTAATTAGAAGCAGAGACCGGAAGCACTTTAAAACATTTGGAAATATTATAGTACATTTCAATAAGTAAACAAAAATCATTTTCCGGTGTTGTAATGTTGCGCCTGAAATAATAATAATAATAGTAAAAATGTACCTTTCAATGCAAATTTTGAACCACATAAGTAGCTTAACAATTAAGTTAATTTCATCATTTAACTGTTTCGTCCTTCTAATACCCATTTAGAATGCAAAGAGCCTGACTTGTTGAGGCCTTAAATTTAATGTTTGAATAATAGATATCATGAATATCACACAAAACA